TAACTTATCTCGACGAGATTATACTTAATCTATTTTATTTTATCTTTTACTAACTTATAATTTTTACTGTATATATACATATTGTAATTATTTATTACGCGCTTTTATTATGTTATTTTCAACTCCTAGTATAGTTCCACTGTTTCAGGAGTATACTTATTAAAGATTATTAAAGATGAAACTGGTCATAGCAAACAATGAAACCTCTACATAATGCCGGAAACAAGAACAAAAGAACTTTTAGGAAGTCCTAAGGGAAAACGAAATCAATTGACACAATTGAATCGAATAAGAGTTGTGAAGTTGAATAACCCTCATGGCGGTGGGGTATTGAGTACGAATAATTAGTGCACTGCAGAGCTAAAAAACTGCAATATGACATACTGTAAGTCGACAATAATTATTATCTTTATTGATTAAATTTGATTAAAACTTACATATTTACATGACAGCGTGATGGCCGTTAATTTCAAGTAGCATAAATTGAAACTCTGCGCGGGAATACCAAGGTTTGTGGGTGGAGGCGTTAAGTATGGTGTCAGTATTTTGTTGTCTAACAATAATTTTCTTATTTAATAAGTTGCTTTTCGTGTTAGAGCGGTTTTCACGTCAGTGTCGAAAGCAATTTCGAATTTCTTTGGTTTTGTATTGCTACGCAAAGCAGTTGGCTACAAAAACGTGCGCCACTTTGTCATCCAATCAGAAGTAAAACCGCACTTCACATTATTCTCAGTCAAAGAGGTAAAACCAATCGTGACTCGCTCTCACAAATTTTTTCACGCTTCACATCGGCTTCACGTATCTGTTTTGAGTTTTGATTGGCTCTCTGGTTTGTTGTAATTTGTGATTGGCTAGATTGATTATTTTCGTTTAGGTTCTACGACAATCAGTTGAAAACCGCTCTAAAACCTTTATATACAGCCATATATTCTAATATAAATTCCAATCTTAAGATTTCACTTCTGGATTGTCCAATTTAATGAATTGTGTTGACCAATATTAAAATAATTTATCATCTGGAATACTTGTTTGTTCAATAATAATATAAATTTACTCTGGAAAGAGTCTTCAAATTACGCAGATGTAGGTTCAGTTTCCACCTCTCTGATGCGTGTAGTCCACATAATATGGGACATTTTCCCTTGCATAGCAAGACTAAGAATTCTCGTTTTCATCTTAAATGTTTCTATAGTATGAGAAAATACAAATGTAGCGAACTGTCGTAAAATCTTACGAAAAGAACGACGCTGCTTGTAGTCTACGATATGACTGAAGATCTCTCGGGCATTCTCAGAGACCTAGATAGGCTTGCGGAAAACAAATGCTGAAACAGGTGGCTGAAAAACGTTTACCGAGAAACATGAGGCAGTTAATTGTTTCCAAAAGGTCACGATTGAGTTACAAAGGCGTGTCTATGAGACTTGAAAACGTTACTAACTTTCCTGTCAGGGAATTTTCAGCTTTTGCTTACAAGGTTTTATTCGCCCTGTCCCCTACGAGCAGAGCTCTGACCTATTCGCCTCTACGTTCATAATGTATTGTAGTAGTTGTCAGATATTATTTCAAGTGAATTACTGCTGTGACATATTACACACTCGGCAAATGTACTCTCAGGTTGAGAACTTTAAGTGCATCTTCTAAAGTCAGTCTATATACTCCAGCATCTTGAAGCGCAGCACATGCTGGTGAAATACATTCTCCTTCGCTAACACTCTCCGAAGTCTTGAGCAAATCTCTTAACAGCACAGCAGATCCTGGCAGAAGGTTTAATAAAATGCAAGCTTCCTTGACCCTGTAAAAGAATGATGGCAGAGCATTCAGTTTTATACCCCAAGGTGAGGGAGGTGGGGAAGGGGGGAGTGGGGCTACTTCTGATATAAGATATATATATATGTACGTGTGGTCCTAAGTTTATGGCTTTGTGGCCTTTTTGGTCTGAAACAGGATATAGACATTTGAAGATTTTGGTCTAAAATATGGTATGTTTTGTACGCTGGCTTAGAATTGGGATTGATGTTTAAAGGAACATATCTTACAGTTATTATTTACACAAGGGAATTTGAAGCCCTTCTCAATAATATTGTTCTACGCTTGTTACCTGAGGTCATGTGCTAGAGATGTGTACCAATATTACAGGAGTGAAATAGAGTATCAAAATTCAAATTATGCTGGTCTGATATAAGAGTTTCAGAAAGCAGGGTGGGGCCGCACATCCCCCACCACAAATATTGTGAATCGATTCCTGTTGATTCTGGTTTCCCCTTGTCTACCAGTGTCGCACAACAATAATGTTCCATTGACTTACTCTTTGAAGAAATTCTCTGGCTTTTGGGTGTATTCCAGAAATAATGTAAAAAGATTCTTTGTTAAGTCAAACTGTAACTGCGCCGCCCCTCCTTCATTGAAATGGCACTCAAGAATGATCTGTGGAGAGAATAAGCACAGCATGGTTAGGATATAACCTCAACAGAAAATAAATACCACATGATCTACATATAGTTAATACAAAACTTCAACATAATCATTGTATACAGGGTTGCCATGGCAAATAATCCATTTCTGAATGCTTTGTTTGTTTTGGGTGGAGTGCACGGGTGACCTAAGATAAAAAGTCTTAGATTCAACCCCAAAAATACAACCAAAGGCTAGTTATCTACATTATACTTGCTTTAAAAGCATACAACAGAAGGAGTATAATACACCATAACTGTTTTTTGGTTTTCTTAATACATTCACACAATTCTAAGTAAATCTTATCTATTTAATATTTTAATATTTTCATTGAACATTGTAATTTTTTTAGCAAGAGTGAGTACAAACAAAGATTGACTGATTGATTGATCTATCTAAATAGCTGCAGTATTCTTACCTCTTCATATATACACTTGTTTAGAGCCTGTGCAAGATTCTTCCATATCATGTTAAAGATAATGCTCGCTAGCTGTTCTTGGAGAATTTGAAGCCTTCCCTTTATAAACAATAACATTTCACAGGCTGATGAGGACAATGCTAAGAGAATGATATCTTTTGAAGGAGGGAACATGTGCCACCTGTAAAATAAATAAAATAGAAAAATTAGCTTGATCCACTGAATGACTGTATTCCCAAAGGATGAGGAAGGGTACATTCTTTGGGTACACCCTTTGGGTACCTTAATAGGTACCGCAATCTTCTTTGGGGCAGACGTTTGTGTCGTTTAAGTTCAATACCCCCCACCCCCCTCCACCTTTTCAAATGAGAGTCCTACCGACCCTGGGACTATGGTCACTCATATTTTTACATTATTGGGTTACAGTATCTGTTGTTGTTCCTAAATTGTTACAACACATTCTGATGTTTAAGCTGAAAGATGAAATAGCTGCCCAGTCACTGATGAGCACCCCCCTCCAATAAGCACCAAGTAAATTTGAAAATTAAACAAGACTTACCTGTAAGTTGAAGCTTGATTGGAATTCTATCTGTCACCAAGCATTGAGGGATTACATGAAATAGCATTGCGCCTGCGCGAACTCAATTTTTAAAGCACTTACCATGTGTGCAGTGGAGTCTAAGCTCCCAGTCAAAATAAGGGTGAGGGCTTGAGAGGGGAGCACTTTTACTTCGAGAGCTATTGCTGCTTTCCTTTTTCTGTCCAGATGTTTCCTTCCTCTGACTGGTATCCGTGTCGTTGTCAGGTATTCTAACATGCTTTAGAGCAAATTAGTGCTGAAAATGTTCACTAGAAATAAAAAAATTTTGTTCGTTCGAAAAGGCAGCAACACACTGAGTTTGCACAGGCACAATGCTATCTCATGTAAGACCTCAATGTGGTGACAGAATAGAATTAGCATTAAATAATTACCACACTGTGTGTAGGTACAGAAAGTGTACAAAAGCAGAGGCTAACAATAATGGGAACTACATAAACTCAGTGGCAAAGAACCAGGTAATAAGGACACCTTTTATTTATGATCCCAAAGAAAAAAACAAATCAAATGTTATCAAGATTCTACTCCATAAAGGAGGTTTTAGAGAGGCTCTCTCTGACAATCACTTGCCCGAGAATGGGACCTATGCTATGCAAAAAACCCAGACCCCTTCATCAAAGACCATTAGATATGAACCTTAATAAAGCCATGTAGACCATACCTTAACTTTAATTTCTTAATAAAATTTCGAAAAGATGACGAAAGACTACAGTATCCCTTTTAAACTTCCTCAGTCCCTTGAATGACGTTAAGTTGCCTTACTTTAACTATGACAAATACATCCATAGCATACAGCGTGAGTTGGGAAATAAAGGCAGTTTTTCTATTTGTTTAAGAGTATTGGGTCAATAGACAAAAACAACAAAATGATGCAAATAATAATATCATTCCAGTTGGAACACTTATTGTTACAACAGCAGTATACTTCAGTTGGAGGTAACAGACTTGTGAGCTATCAGGAACTTACTTTTCTTTCTTGTAGGGTTTGCTCAACATCCTAAATCCCTGTACAACATGCTCTACAATTTTAAGGATCATGTGTTCCATTAAATCTTGTAGGCGTTGTGTAACTTCCTCAAATACACTAGCCATTGGAAGCGCATCCCGTTCTTGGGAGTTAGCGTCATCATCTTCTCTGGGGCATTCCTCTTTGGGTATATTCTCACACCTTTCAGAGTCAGTAGATGGATTGCGGTGTTGACAGAGTTTGAGGAAAAGCTGGAAATATGTATGGTATGATATTAATGATTTAATTAATTAATTTAATTTGCACTTGTGCAATCTTCTGATATTGAAAAATAACAGTGTCAATGTCTTAACAGGTCAAATGGCTGGTCCCACATGCTAAGTCTGGTTGCATATTTTATCTGTCTGAGTTCATTAAATGAAGATTGCACTGTAATACTGTACAACATACCATTTGTTCACTCCATTCCTGAAGTATAAGGCTGATGTAATTAGCAGAATTCAACACTGAACAGTAATGCAGCCCTGCAGGAGCAAATGATGTTTCTTCTGCCTCAAGAGTCAGTCTGGAGATGAAGCTTTCAAGAAGAAACAACTGGACTTCAAGAAATTGTTCCTGGTGGGAGACTTCTGGTAGATTTCTATATCGATCTGGTAAATTTAAAAGGAAATGGAAAATGTACTCTTTTTATAGTTCAAGCATGTCAGCCTCTGGGTGAAGGGGCCTAGCTTCAAGCCCAGGACAGTGATCTAAAAATGGGAGCATTAATACGAGTCAAGCACCAGCCAGCACCAATGAGCTAACTGACTCATCTGATTCTCTTTTACTGAAACATTATTCCCTTCTTGTGTACTGAAATAAAGCAGTCTTAATTCACCGGAACAACTTGCTGGAAAATAAAATTAATATATATCAAGCAAAAGACAGGTACGTGGGAGGCACAGTGGCCTCATGATTAGTGGGCTCATTCCTGGAACGAGCGGTCCGGGTTCGAGCCCTGACCAGGGCTGTTGTGTTCTTGGGCAAGACACTGAACTCTCACAGTGCCTCTCTCCACCCAGGAGTATAAATGGGTACCGGCAAATTGTCGGGGAAACCTAACAAATTTCGGAAGAGTAACCTGCAATGGACTAACATCCCGTCCAGGGGGAGTAGAAATACTCCTGGCCGCTTCATGCAACAGAAACTGGGATAAGTTCCAGCAGCTCTGAGCCATTTAGCTCCAAGGCTTCACTTTTAAAAGACAGGTACACATTGATAGTGGCTGGGTCTCAGACTCCAAGATTTCACAGTTTAACGACCTAATCATCAGGTCAACAATTTAACCAAGTCACTGAGTATAATTTATGGATAATGGGTTTCTTGAATATCCAGGGGATCTCTATCATGGTCACCTACCCTCAGATAGAATAGTGCACCAGCCTCACATCCAGACACCACATCCCAACAACTACAAGTCAGGGCTGTCAGTAAGTTTCGAGTCAACTGTAGCATTGATCTTCACACAAACTTGTAACCTTCCAGGTGAATTGTATCAACTAGAGTCCAATTCACCCGTAACATCAAGGGTCCATCAAGCATACTCAGTGTCACTCAGCAGTAGCAGGTGTTACAGGTTAAGGCCCTTAATGACAACTCTGTATGTAGGTTGATCAGTGAAGAAAATGAGCTTAGGGAATAGGGTAGGATAAATGTCACAAAAATAACCCAGCACACATCAACATCCTTTACCCAGGCATTATACACCTTATTCCAAAATGGCGGCCAATTTATTATTCTTTTGTTTGCATGTTAATTAGCCCTCTTTGCCTCATTTTCACTTCAAAATTCTTTTGTATTTTGTACGTGTTGACGTGGCAAAGAGGGCTAATTACCATGTAAACAAAAGAATAATAAACTGGCTGCCATTTTGGAATAAGGTGTATTGGATCCTGGACCTGTTTAGAAATATCCTAACCAATCTGGTTAAACCCTACCTTGGTTCAATTATATTTCTCACTTAACCTCATATACTGCACCTGTTATAACAGAAAGAAGTGTCATGAACCCTTCTGCACATTCAGGTGTCCGTGTGTCATCTACATCACCTACATCTTTATACTTCAGTGTCCATGCCGATGATGAGGATAGAACAGATTCCATGTTTGATATAGCATCTGTTGAACAATAGCAAAACAGAATACAGGATTACAGTCTAGGTCTGTCCTGGGGTGGTCAAAACAATGGTGAGATAGAGCACCTTTCATTGTAGTATGGCAACAAATGAAAAAAAAAAACATTGACTTCTGAATAATTTGGTAAGTGTCCCAGTTGTGCACTACACTTGCATGTAAAATAATTGTGAACATGCGCATGCTAATTTGCACTGCAGTGCAAATGAAAAAATTCCAGTAAATTGGCCTGCTCTCAACCAATCACAATGAAGTAATTTTCTCAGTCATTTATTGACAAATGGTGTTATTTTCAGAGGGCCTATCTCCAGATTGGTATACAAGTGATCAAATAGCCAGGGTGTACAGTTAGCTAAGCGCAGCATGACAAAATGTTTGGAGGCTTCTTGTGATGGAGTAGTGCATCTCATTCAAAGTGTTATTAATTTACTACCACACTGTAGTTCCTCCATGTTTTTAAGGAACACTGGATTTACTATTGGCAGATATTTGGTCATGGCCTTAACATCGATATGCAGACCATAAATCAGGTCCTCAGGTAGTCAAAGGCATACTGACAATAACATAAGAGCTGCCTAAAAGAAAATTTCACCAGAGCTTATCTCTGGCTGAAGGCCCACTCCAAAATTGAGACTCGGGGTAATTTGTCATTTTTTTTTCAAGCTACAAATCTGGAAAGAACAACACAACTTTTCCAAGTACAATCATTATGGTACTCACATTTTCTTTCTAACTCCACCCATCTCTGTAGGCATGCACCAGTGGTTAGAACATGTAAACATCCATGTTCAATAGAGCGGTACTTGTGGACCATGTAAAGCTCTTTATCAAATAACAGTAGTTCATCAATGAAGTGAGAAAAAGCATTGTCATCATCAATTATCTTTGGAATGCTATGCTCCAACTTTTCCACAACAACTTTTAACAGGCCACAGATAAATTCAGACTGAAAAAGAGAAGAATAACACAATTAACTGAGTATATATTTCCCCGATGAAAGTAAAATATAAAACTTTAACCCACTGACTCTGTGCTGGCCGTAACCGGCCATGACGAGCCTCAGCCTTTCTTCCACTTCTGACGTCATCACTGTTATAATCTAGTCACATGCGGAGTCATGTTATTGGTAATCGGATATCCATGTTGTGTAATGTAGGATTTCAATTCATTCTTCTTCGTGATTATTAAAGCATTTAGATCTACAATTCGCTTCACCTTGATTTATTACATTGGCGACGAGGATAAACATGGCAACCTACGGGAACGTGGGAGAATTTAAGGAGTCAGAGGAATCGTGGACTCAATACATGGAAAGACTCGAGCAGTACTTTGCCGCAAATGAAATTAAAGACGAGAAGAAACAAAGAGCTATCTTGTTAAGCGTTTGTGGAAGCAAAACATACGGGTTAATTCGCGATCTGTTACAACCCCAGAAACTTGAACTCGAAAGATTGGAGCGTGAAGGAATTATTTCTCCGGTGGAATTTTCAGAATGGGCAGCGCCCATTGTACCTGTGGCAAAACCCAATGGGACTGTGAGGATCTGTGGAGACTATAAACTAACAGTAAATCACTTGTCCAAACTGGACAATTATCCAATACCGAAAACAGAGGATCTTTTGGCTACCCTGGGAGGTGGTGAGAAATTTACCAAGCTGGACATGTCGCGAGCATATCAGCAGATGACTCTAGATGNTATGTGAAAAACATTTGATTGATTTTATTACCCTTCTGCTCAGTGTTTCTTTTTGTTTTGTTTGGAATAGCAAAAGCCTTAATGGGGAGGAATGTTATAATCTAGTCACGTGCGGAGTCAAGTTATCGGTAATCGAATATCCATGTTGTGTAATGTAGGATTTCAATTCATTCTTCTTCGTGATTATTAAAGCATGTAGATCTACAATTCGCTTCGCCCTGATTTATTACAGTGAAAGTGGTAAGAATGGCTCAACGTTAACTGTAGCCAACCGTGTATCCGGCCATTCCCGAGTTGCCTTTTGCCTCTGTGCCAAAACGAGTCTGCTCCGCCTACATACTCATTTTCATGCCAATCAAACCATTTTCGTATGAAAGGTTTGACACGAAGACTAGTATTGAAACAGAGGCACGAGGTAACTTGGAAATGGCCTACTGCCGTGTGTAAACCAGCCTTAATGAAGGTGGCTGCCAGGCAATAGCACTTGGAATGACGTCCACTCGCGAAAGTGTATCCGCAAGCTCTCTTGTCTCATCACGTGTGGAGGCGGCGTGGCCTAGTGGTTAGGGTGCTGGATTTGTAATCCGGAGGTCTCTGGTGCAAATACTCCTCCCTACCACTGGATGGATTTGTGTTTGGTGGTCCCAGATTCAACTCCTCCACGCTTGTAAATAGCCAACTGGTTAGCCTCGACACGGTTGGAATTTTTAACAAGATGTTATTTAATTTACAATATTTGTTTGCTCATTTCAGTGTCCACAATTAGTACAGCAGTACTAAACATTTCGACACTTGAATAAAGTGATTTATTTATTTCTATTTATTTATTATCACATGAGGGTTCCTATTACAGCATTCCGCGAAATCCATTTTACTTCAGTAGCGACGTGACAGCACTGCTTCTCAGTTTAAATCTCTTCTTTTCAGTTCTATTCCATTTGCATTATTTATTTGGTTTACATATAGAACTTAAACATTAGACTCTATAGTTTAATTTGTAGCATTCCTTCATTTTATGTAATATTACGTTAGAGAAAATGTCGCGTTCATCATAGCAAAATTTCCTGAACAGCAATGAAGGGCAAATGATAGTAATAAGACATCATAAAATCAACCACTACAATGTTCAGACCTCATCGGATCAGCTGACAAAGACTTGGGACACACTTTTTTTTTTTTACTTCAAACGTTGTTACAGAACTAATGTGAAGACATTTACTAGATCGGTTATGACAGAAACATCTTATACTTATTAATATGTAGTAGAAGTATTGCACATATTCTACTCTCTTCATTACAAACAAAGTATTAAGTGTAACCTTCTCTTAAGCCGGATCCAGTCCGGTTTCTAAATTTGTACATTAATAATTAAAAAAAAAAAAACCATTACACTGCTTATTAAACCTTTTGTTTGGTGACGCTTTCGTTGCCGCTGCAATATTACGTAATACGAGTAGCAATTCTCGATTTCTAGGCTTTGCCAGTTAGTCACTTAATTCTTTAGCAAACTCTCGATACAGTCGTTAATAATGTCCACTATAACTATTTCTGTCTTATATGTATTAATATATGAGCATATTTCCCGCGTAACTCAGCACCCATACGGCTTCCCATGAAGCCTCTTGCACTTTTCAACCCACGTGTCATGGAATGTCTTGTAATCTTGTAAGAGCTCTTCCAGGTCTCCCTCGGTTGCACTGCCAGTGTGGCCATCGGCGCTTGTTTGCTTCACTAACTCAACATTCTGGTAATTGTTCTCTTCCCTCAATCGCTTTGCTATACAAAGCGGAAAAAATAATCAAAAAACAGATAGACAGTCACTGCTAACTGAAATTTTAAGAATTCAGTTAGCGCGGTTGATTCCGGATACGAACTTTGGGCGTGTGGTGGGCCAATGTGCTGTGTTCTGGTGTAAGCTCCTTTACTTTCTAAAGTGCCGTTTTTCATTCAGAAGTAGGAATGTGTAGCCTGGAAAAATGCCGGGGGCGGGTGGGACTTCATCCCAGATATTTAGCGAACAGGGGCGCTAACAGTTAGCACACATACTCGCCACTTGCTAATCTTCGGCTCTGCTCAGTTCCATTCTGTTGAACTGAAAAACCTTTCACCTTTTTTAAAAAGGTTTTTTAAGTTGCCATGCGTTCACTGTCAGCATTAATGGCCTCTATCAGTCTGAAGCTGCATTTTAGCGGCTACAAACGATGTGTTTCTCCATCCTCGCATCCTTAAAGAATTAACAAAGTGAATAAATTACAATATTTAGATAGGAGGCCACATCACCCTTAGCCGGTTTTCATGCTGGTTCTCTATCCTGATAGAATTTCAATTTACAAATGTTGGTTTTTCAAGAGGGAGGAAAACCGGAGAACCCGTACAAAAGCCCTCTAAGCAAGGCGTTAACCAACAACAAACTCAACCCACGTTTGGCACGGGACCGGAACCGAACCTGGGCCACATTGGCGGGAGGCGAACGCTCTCAACACTGCGCCACCCCAACTCCCCAATCTTTTGCGATTATCACCTGCTAAGTTAAGTCTTACTTACGCTGCAGATATTTCTTGGCAAGAAACTCGTAGACCAGTCCAGCAATGATCAGCACGCCCAAAATGGCGACCCCACAATACACAATTATCTTGAAGGCGCCTTCTTCATAGAATAACCCCTCAGCTGCCTTAACCTCCTGACTGACTGAATCTGACGGGTTCTGCAAGTAAAACAAACGCCGGCGGCACATTAGAAAGCCCTTGTCATTGAAGGTCAACTGGCATGCTGATTGGTTGTTTGCTAAGGCTTGCTTCTTTTTCACTTTACACCTTGAAAAGGAGAGACAGATCATTGCCAGCTTCCCCGAGGACAGACCGCGTCAGATGCAGAAGTTTTGCCGTCTTTGGTTTAGCTTACAATTATTACATGAAATGTCTGTTAGATTCCAATGGCCAACAGAAAAAAATCTAAGTTGCAAGGGAAATGACACTTCAAAGAGGTGGTGTTAAGGTGTCCCACCTCTCCCGAAACTAGAGTAGTGTTCAACAGGTCCGTGCCCATTTTTGTTTTAAAAAAGTTGAAGTAAAAAAAGTAGACGGCCAGCTGGAAATTTTAGCTATGATAAATACTTTTCCACTTCATAATCAGTACATGTACCTTAAGTGGCTTGAGATGATCAGCAATCCTTTGAAAAACCTTCCGTGGATAGTTCTCAACATAACGCCTCGTGCACTCTGCCATCCGCGATGAATTTCCCGCCAAAACCAGACCGTACACTACCGGGTGCTCAATCGTGCGCTCAATTCTGATTGGATGATCCCTAATAAGGTCCAAGTGCGCTGTGATCGTGAAGCTGTCTACAAAGGCACCGTCGATCTCTGATTTGAGAAGAGCGTTTGTGATGTCGAAGATTTTGGAAAAGACTGCAAATGAGTTAAGTAAAATACCATTAAGAAAATCAGTAGAATGTTGTTTGTCAACATCTCGATCTTTGTGTGGTTTCAGAAACAAGACTTTTACATCTGTAGTAGCTTGGAGTTCACAAATCACGTGAAAAATATTTTTTTGCATGGGAAAGAGTCAACAGGGAATTATGTTTATTTGTGTTGACTGTACTCAAGAAAACAACTTGTGTGTGCTGTAAGTAGATTTACTTCCCAAATTTCATCTACATGTGACACTTTTCTTGAGAAAACTGAAAACATTTTGGAAGCTCAAAACAGTTCTCAGTTATAACATGACATTGAGATGAAACGAGCAATATCTGCAAAGGATTGTAAATCAAGGTCAACAAGGGAACATTAGTCCGGATGAAATTAAAGATGAGAAACATTTTACTGAGGCAGAAATACGCAAAAAAATACAAAGTAAAGTTCCCACGCTCTTTCTGCGCGTGCGTAGTTCGCTGCTTGCTGAACAAATAAAGTAATCATCTCACGCGCTAATTGAAGAGTTATTAATTGTTTTGAAATTTCTTACTCTTCATGTCAGCATTCATCAATACTCCAAGTTTGTATTCTTCGCTGCCGTTTACTACTCCGATCTGTAATTGAAAAAAAATTATTGTGGATAAAGTTGCCATTTCGATTACTGGCTTACACCGTTCAAACTACGATATTTAGACCCAAGAGCAAGACAGCACTCTTTTAAAATGAGCGCAATTTGTTACTTGCAATTTGTCTGGTGTGAATGATATTCTACCATTGTTACTTCTGTTAGTTTGCAATGTGTGACTGTAAAGTAATATTTCGACCGAGTTNCTAAGTTAGATAGTTACAATTTTCAAAAAGTCTGGGATGAAAATGTCATTCTTTTTCTGCACGTAGGTAGGTACTCTAGGTAGTAGGAGTGAGATCAACATTTCAGACAGTGGGCAAGTATACTAGATCAGTTACACTGATTGGAATAAAACTGAAATTGAAGCATACAGCATCAACAATAAAATCATTATAAAAATTGTGCAGATTACCTTGGCATCCACTGAGCCATACTCTGTTCTATGAAGGATAGGTTGTATAGTGTGTTGAAGGAAGTCACTGTGATTCCTAACCCAATTTAAGACTTGCGTAAAATACCATTCAGGCTGGAAGAAAGATAAAACACATTCTATAAACCACATGTACTATTATTATGACCTATAATAACTGATTGCAACAAAAAGTTATCTGATGATCACTTAAGGGAGCTGTTGGTTTTCACATTGCTCGGCACATTTTTCTCTGGGTAGGCTGGATGCCTCCCCTTATCAGAAATCCACATATTTTTGCAATTTCCAATTTTGTTGAGATATAAAGAAGTCATATAGGAGCTGTAGTTTAAGTGGCTTTCCTTATGAGAGGTGATGTATGGTAAAATACCAAACTCACTGAGGCATCAGTAGATCTTTGTTTGAAAATCCAAGACCATCACTTTTATAACATATGTTGCTTTTGATTTTACATTTTGAGACCCAGGCAGGTTCTGGTGTTACTATTTGAACAACGAAAAAGACTTGAAGCCACAATAAAATTTAATGGTGTAGGAATTTACACGCAAAAACAGGAGTACCCGTCGGATCCGCTCCGCAAAATATCCGCTCTGCAGACTAAAGTTGAGCTGGCTGGGAATTTTAGCATTAAACAAAATCTTGCTGAGAATTTAGCTTATCGAGAGCTAGCTAGCTGGAAAATTTTTTTTGGCGTTCAAATAGCTTACATTGTGGTTTCACAAATCAGTTCCGGCTGGAAATTACATTCCGGATGCGATCACTGACTGAAGTGTGTCATTTGACACTCCGACTGCTTCACCAAAAGTTTTATTTACCAGCAAACAATAGAAGTCTGTTCTGCTGTCATTTATAGTGTGAAATTAGATCGGTTTCTTTTCCCACGTTCAGTTGCATGTTTCACCACCGTTGATCCGTTGATCCGGTCGCGGAAAATCATCGTCTGTTCTGCTTTCATGTTCTACTATGAGACAACTGGTTATCTGGTAATGACGTTTGTTGGTTCATGCAGTCTTTTCACAGTTTTGCCTGAGGCCCGGTGAGACTCCGGTAACCTCGTAATGTTTTGTAACTAAAACATTATTCCCGTATAATTTTGTGTCCAACGGTCGGTTTCAAGCGCGGTCAGATTTTGCCGACCAGTTGTTTGAGGGTTTGGCAGCCAGAGAACTCTGAGGACTC